TTATACTTACAGTATCGCGTGAAACGAGACAGAGCCGCATTCTTAAGAAGAAAAATTCAACGCTTTTTTTATGAGAGAATTGTCAGCAAATAAGAAAGCAGTTACAATACACAAATATAAAATAACAATAAAAAATGAACAATAATAATGAAAAAAAAAAACAAGACAGGTATATAATTAAACAAAACACATCGCATTCAAAGGAAAAGATTGAACAACTTACAAATTTCAATTGTTTTTAAAGCTTATTACTTGAAATAGTCCCAAAGTAATGCTGTACTTCAGGCAAGCAAAACAAAAAAAGTGGCTTCTGACTTGAGAATTTACATTTATGTATATAAAAGTTTGTTAACCAAATAAAAATATTAAGTAAGTATATTTAGTTTTTCTGTAAATGCACTTTTTTTCCAATTAACAAGTCCAAACAAAACATTTTCCCCAAAGTAAAGAAAATTCTTTATCAATATTCTCATTAACAAATAAGGAAAAATCTTTCCACAACAATTAGAGTAATGGCAGTGCCAAAATAAATGCACTATAGTCTCTGGGTGCCGTTTACAAAAAGAACAGTTTGTATCAATATCTTTTTTGTATTTCTTTAAGACAGTATCAACAGGATATACGATGGATAATTGATAAAGGACATTTCTTTTATCTTATTAGTAATGAAGTATCTATTCTGAATCAGCCAAACTTTCCTCCAGGCAATATCAGAAACAAAAGCATTCCAATAAACTGTAACATTTGGAACCGACACAAATTCATTAAGAAATAAGAAACGTATTGACTTTTTAGAAGAAGTGGCTGAAAATCAATGTTTCCCCACCACTGAAACAGTACACTGTAACTGATTTTTGTAATTTGAACAGTATTATACTGACTGTAAATCAATTTACAGTAGTGAACTTGCCCGCGAAAAACTGACCAATGGCAAGGGAGTTCTTTTTTGACTGTTTGGTGGAAGTGGCTGTAAAAGGACAAAAGATAAATGCACCGTTAACTCGACGAAAGGTTAGTATTTTATTTCTGTTTTATGTAAAACTGCAATATTTTAAGATGTTTTCACTTGTTAACAGCAAACTAACATTATTCATCGTGTCATTTTTCATGTTGGGAGTTGGACCCTTTTTTTCTGACTGACGGCCGGAATGCCGCCAAAAGGCTGATAACATCGACTGGTGA